GTGTGCATGCCCAAGATCCCAAGAGGAGAATAGAGGAGAAGCGATTGCGGCGTGGCCATTCCCCCTGTAGGGTGTTTCTCGCTTTCTGTCTGTCTCTCTCTTTCTGGTGAGTGCACGTGCACTATAGCAAAAACCTCTCCCACCAAAAAAGAATCAAATGGACCTATTAGAGATGAGGGCTATAATACAGGAAGTCAAAATCTCCTTTGAAAGTATTAAAAGCAGACTAGATCATACAGAAAATCGAATCTCAGATGTAGAAGATAAAATTGCTGGCCTAGGAAAATCCACCACAAAGACTGAGAAAACTGCCCCCCAAAAATGAGAACAAGATATGAGAAATACTAGACACCATCAAACATCCAAACATCCATATAATTGGCATCCCAGAAGGTAAAGAGATTCATAAGGGCATTGATAACCTAATTCCATGAAATCCTGCAAAAAAACTAGAGAGGTATTCAAAGATCCAGTCCTAAGAAATACAAAGGACGCCAAATAGAATCAACCTAAGAAGATCTTCTCCAAGACACATTATACCCAGACTGACCAAAACTACAGACAAAGACAGGGTACTAAGATTGGCAAGAGAGAAATGTCAAGTTACCTACAAAGGATGTCCAATCAGGCTAAGAGCAGACCTCTCCTCAGAGACAATGAAAACAAATTTAATAATTATTTTTTAAAAATTCAATAATCAGGGTTGGCAGGTGGCATGGTGGTACAAGTGCTGGCTATACCACAAGGCTGCCTGCAGTCTGAGTCCTGGACCTGGCAGCTTGCTTTCTAACTTTCTCTCTCTGGTTAGATTTTAAAAATAATGATAATGATGAATAAAATTAAATAAGATAATTCATTTAAAAAAATCAATCATCTGGGCTGGTGCCATGATGTAGTGATTAAAGGAGCTGGATCCCAAGTGACAACTGCATTCAAATGCTGGCCCCAGTGGCTTGAAAGACATGTCAAGCACGTGTGCACGTGTGCCTAAATCCTGGCCAGACACAGAAGTGGAGGAGACGGGACTGCAGCATGCCCGTGCCCCACTGGTGGGTGCTTTCTCCCTCTCTCTCTGGCAAGTGCACATGCCAACTGGTAGTTATTTTTTAAAAGAAAGGAAGACAGAACTGTCCTGTGATAGGTTCTTTTTTTTTTTTTTTTTGAGAGGTTTTTTCTATAGGGCA